GACGCATTCACCTCTCATTGCGTGTTCGGTCTCTCTTCACATTTTCTTCCCTCAGAATTTCCTGTAGAAGAATATTTTAATTTTAAGAAATATTATAATAACAGAAGAACTTTTGGAACTCATCAAAAATTTAAATGAGAAACAAAGGTTAACATATTTCAGCCACAGAGTGAGAATCAATCCAACGATGCTGGCAGCTAGAATATTGAATGTTGAAATAAGAATCGACATCCGTCACTAGGGACACCCCCATGAGCGCTCCGTCCCTGTCTTCAGCAGCAAGCGAAAAGTTAAAACTCCTATGGTACCAGTAACTGTCTTGTATATCTGTCTCGCCTTTCCCCCGAGTGTTAAACGTCAGCCAGATCCCATTGTAACTCCTTGCAGCGCCATTATCCATAGATAGCAATGATATATCTGTGCATCGGCGCTGTTTCCTCGCTCCCAAAGGGCCCTTACAACATCCAGCTTGACATACATCAGTTCACCACCAAGTAGTGAAGAACTGGCCAGTCTATCTGCCTGCTCATTTCCTAACAGACCGGCATAACCTGACAGCTAGAAAGTAGTATATGAAAATCGAAACCTCAAGATGCAGTTGGAAACCTAAAAGATGGAATTAAGAAGTTACTGACAGCCTGAAATTTCACATCATCACAGTATACCACGGAACTGAGCTCACCCTGGATTGGTAACCCATCAGTAGTAAAAGTGCTTTCAATAGCGTCACAAAGTAGATACGGAAAAAAGCAGAAGAAAAAGTGTCGTGGAGTGATCAAACCCACCCCTACACATTAGACTATTCGTGATGTTAACGCTCCTAGCGTGCAGGTCACATTTCAAATATAGACCCGTCCGGTAGGTATATAGTCCATCATATCTATTTATGCCTTTATCTGGCGAAATAGGTATTTCTATATGTTCTAGGTCTCTTGTGATGTCTACATTTTCAAACTTATTGTGGGGTAGATATTTTCTAGATTATTATTCATAATCCGAGAAGCCTATTCACTCCTCGGCGTATTGATCTGATAGCTTCTTTCTTCGAAAGCGACGTGAAGTTTCCCCCGCTTCATTCTCTGAAAGACTTCGAAGTGATCAGAAGCGTTTCACCTTTGTGCATAAATTTTGTCTTGAACAAAGTACCAGTTTAATCTTTGGAGGAATCCTGAGCTTGGGATGAGATCTCCTTGGAGGTCAGCATTCAATTAGCAGTCCACAAAATTACCAACTACCACACCATCACCATGGCAGACAGCAAAGTGGAAGCCAGAGTGTAGGCATCAGCTTACAGGCCGCCCATTTGTCATTACTCAGAAAGTACCCTCTTCAGGAGCTTGTTTGGGCTCCAGTGATTGAACTCTGTTTGTAACTGTTTTTACAAGATCAACCATAGCAGGAAACATTCCCAACAGGGTCAGCCTGCTCATCATGAACCGATGAGTGCAGTGACACCAACCGGGACTAGATAAGTAGCAAGACTCTGTGGTGTGACGCCTTGTTCTCTATTTACAGGTCCACTCTAAGTCACCATGATGAACACAGACTCTCTCTAGCAGTCTCTTCGAGGATCTGTGAACGTTTGGTTTTGATCTCATTATTCCAGTTGTGCTTGAATATTTTTGATTGAGTCTTAAATGATATATATGTTGCATTTATTACATGTCTTTGGAAGTTTTCATTATTGACTGGAGTGTCCATCATTCACTCTTCAAACTGTCTAGAGTATATGTATGTTTAACCATTAATCTTAATCTGTGTTAACATGGCTGTGATAGTACACTATAATAGCCTGGGGGCTATTTTCTTGAAGTAGTGGCAACGTCCAGCCAAATTGCGCCTCGGAATATTATATATTCTGCAGTGCCATAGCTTGAGTTGCCCTACTCCTGAAATAAGTTGGGTGTATATTGGCCACGGGATACCCTTCAGACCAATACGAGCCGACACCTCAACATTATACTATTTCAGAGTGCTGTTGGTTTTTAAGGAGAAATCTTTAAACAGGCACGCAACACGAGCGGTATGTGACAAGAAGTAGAAGCAGTAAAAAATTCAGAAAGGAAGTTCATGTATCTGATACATCTTGGAGAAGATAGTTTAGAGACAACTGTGAATCAATTAGATGGAAGCCAGATTACAACCGGGGATGCCGGAATTTCGATCCACGTGCGAGCGTTTGTCCACGACATCATGACGATTTCCTTATGATAATTCAAACACTTATTTCTGTGTGTTATTGTAATGTCCATAATTATTGATGCTATTTATGCTCGTGGAGAAGACGTTGTATGTAATACTTTGCTCTTTTCCCCAAACTACTTTGACAACACCACAAACAACGTAATACCTCTACCTGCCACTTAATTGTCAGCACAATCCTCACCCCTGAAGACAAACGATATATTTTTCAGCTTCCCTATACCAGCGTAAAACACCTACAACTTTAAAACAAGAACTACGCTTAGGAAATTGAAACAAGGAATCACTTTATGTGTTGTGGGAGGCCAGTCAGGATACTCATGTGTAAACTATCATGTACGCAGCATCAGCATATGCAGTACCTTGAATTATACAGGAACTGATTCATCCTAAGGAATCCTGTCGTTCAACTGATTGGCTTTAACCTGAGCATCTGTTTATAATTTAACGTTTATTTGTGGTATAGTCACATGATGAGAATTTATTTTGCTGTTGTCCAATTGAAGGGAATACTCTGAGTGGGGTGTTGTAAAAAATATGTTTGAATTAATTTCACCCAACTGTCTGGTCAGATTAACAAGGATTTGACTGAATCAATTTGCTATTGGTAAAGTGATTTTCAACTATTATTTCAACCATTAAATTGTCCATTGCTTCTTGATTATTCTTAGGTTTTGTTTTTAAAGAATATTCTTCTTTTTCTTCTTCTGCCTTTCTATCCCCCAATGGAGCATAGGCCCTCAACCAACTCACGCCAAGTCTTTATATCCTTCGCCATTGCATTGAGCTCTCCCCATGTCCTGCCCATTTTTCTAACTTTATTCTCCAGCTCTCTTTTCCATTTGTTTTTTTTTTTACCTTCCTTTATTCCTATGCCCATGAGGGTTCCAATGCAAAGACATTCTAGTTATGCTGTTCTCCTGTTTTTTCAGTGTGTGTCCTATCCAACGCCTGCGCCTTTTCCTCACCTCTTGGTCCACTGGAGCCTGTTTAGTTCTCTCCCAAAGTTCAACATTAATTATTCTATCATACCATTCAATTACCCCTATTCTGTGCAGGCACCAGTTAATGAATGTCTGTAATTTATTAGTAATTGCCTTAGTTGTTCTCCATGTTTCCGCCACATACAATAGTACTGATTTGACATTAGAATTAAAAATTTTTAGTTTAGTATTTCTTTTAATTTCTTTTGACCTCCACAAATTCCTTAGTGCTATGAAAGCCCCTCTTGCCTTTTGTATTCTTATTTTAATATCTCTATCAGTTCCTCCATCTTTATCTACATTATAAGAATATTCGTCTTCAGATATCTTTACAGGAATCGCACTATACGTATATCTCTTTGAGTTTTCAATTCTTATCGACATCGTTCTAATCTATGTACTTTGGAACTAATACATTAACAATAGACAATTTTTTTTCGAGCCTTGTCAATCATTAATAATGGAGTGATTATAGGTGATCTCTAGACAAGAAGACATTCCGCCAACAACGCTTATGACACACACACAATACCTATACACACATACACACAATCTGTAAACAATTACACCCCCACACATACAACCCCATTGACAGATACACACACAACCACTCTCAGGGTCATACAGCTTCTCAGCTTACACACGACCTAAACCTACATACATCCACCTCCTCTCTTTAAAAAAAATATATACACAAAGTCAACACCAACACATGCCTTCCCTACATCCACTCAAGCACACACAGTATCCTCGAACATAGGTCACACATTCTCATACCTCTCAGTCCTTTTTTTGTTTTGTTTTGTTCTGTACAGACATGAAGTCCTTAGTCGTTAGTCCATATTGCAGCTATACTACAGACATGAAGTCCTTAGTCGTTAGTCCATATTGCAGCTATACTACAGACATGAAGTCCTTAGTCGTTAGTCCATATTGCAGCTATACTACAGACATGAAGTCCTTAGTCGTTAGTCCATATTGCAGCTATACTGCAGACATGAAGTCCTTAGTCGTTAGTCCATATTGCAGCTATACTACAGACATGAAGTCCTTAGTCGTTAGTCCATATTGCAGCTATACTGCAGACATGAAGTCCTTAGTCGTTAGTCCATATTGCAGCTATACTGCAGACATGAAGTCCTTAGTCGTTAGTCCATATTGCAGCTATACTGCAGACATGAAGTCCTTAGTCGTTAGTCCATATTGCAGCTATACTACAGACATGAAGTCGTTAGTCGTTAGTCCATATTGCAGCTATACTGCAGACATGAAGTCCTTAGTCGTTAGTCCATATTGCAGCTATAGTACAGACATGAAGTCCTTAGTCGTTAGTCCATATTGCAGCTATACTACAGACATGAAGTCCTTAGTCGTTAGTCCATATTGCAGCTATACTACAGACATGAAGTCCTTAGTCGTTAGTCCATATTGCAGCTATACTACAGACATGAAGTCCTTAGTCGTTAGTCCATATTGCAGCTATACTGCAAAGATGTTGACCTATAACAGCTCATTTCTGTGCCAGTGGAAATCAACACAACATTTTCGCAGTGAAACACATGTCAGTCCCAGCAAAAATCATGAAGCTCGCACATGCAAAGTAAATGTAAAAGGTAATGCTGAATGACTACACGCCATCTACAGTTTTTAGTGTCGCAACAAGCGCTCAGCTCAGTAGCTGGTCGACGTAACTATTGGTCACTGGGCCCAGAAATAGGGAATTTGCATCAACAAACTTTGGCTAGAAATAAATAACTTTTCAGAGGGTCGGTGGTTAGCTGTTTGTCTGCCATATTGAACGAGAAGTCTACACACGAAGTACCTTAATGTTGGTTGTGATGGCGATTGACTTCATCTTGCTACCCTCGCGGCTGGTCAAAGAATGATCCCAGGAGAGGAAAACGAGGCCGGAAAATGTATCTTCTTCGTTGTCATCAGTCTTTTTTATACGTCTGTAGTTTAGGAACATACTGTAGATTTGGAATGAAATCGCTATTAGAACGTGTAACAAAATCATATTTAAGTGCAACTGAAAAACAATATGTGAAAGAAACCTTAATGAGGGAGGCTAAAAGTGTGGACTGGATTTAAATCATGATACTGAAATGACTAAACATCAAATTCAAATCATGATACTGATATGACTACACGTCAAATTCAATTCATGATACTGAAATGACTACACATCCAATTCAAATCATGATACTGAAATGACTACACATCAAATTTATATCATGATACTGAAATGACTACTCATCAAATTCAATTCATGATACTGAAATGACTTCACATCAAATTCAAATCATGATACTGAAATGACTACACATCAAATTCAAATCATGATACTGAAATGACTTCACATCAAATTCAAATCATGATACTGAAATGACTACACATCAAATTCGAATCATGATACTGAAACGACTACACATCAAATTCAATTCATGCTACTGAAATGACTACACATCAAATTCAAATCATGATACTGAAATGACTACACATCAAATTCAAATCATGATACTGAAATGACTACACATCAAATTCAAATCATGATACTGAAATGACTACACATCAAATTCAAATCATGATACTGAAATGACTACACATCAAATTCAAATCATGATACTGAAATGACTTCACATCAAATTCAAATCATGATACTGAAATGACTACACATCAAATTCGAATCATGATACTGAAACGACTACACATCAAATTCAATTCATGCTACTGAAACGACTACACATCAAATTCAAATCATGATACTGAAATGACTTCACATCAAATTCAAATCATGATACTGAAATGACTACACATAAAATTCGAATCGTGATAATGAAATGACTACACATCAAATTCAATTCATGATACTGAAATGACTACACATCAAATTCAAATCATGAGACTGAACTGACTACACATCAAATTCAAACCATGATACTGAAATGACTACACGTCAAATTCAAATCATGATACTGAAATGACTACACATCAAATTCAAATCATGATACTGAAATGACTTCACATCAAATTCAAATCATGATACTGAAATGACTACATATCAAATTCGAATCATGATACTGAAATGACTACTCATCAAATTCAATTCATGATAGTGAAATAATTACACATCAAATTCAAATCATGATACTGAAATGACTTTACATCAAATTCAAATAATGATACTGAAATGACTACACATCAAATTCGAATCATGATACTGAAATGACTACATCAAATTCAAATCAAAATACTGAAATGACTAGGTATCATAGAATGGAGTGGAAGAATAGGCTTCAAGTAGTGTTTTTGTTCGTCCATCAAGAGTGATGAAGACCGCTTGACTTAAAAAAGACTAATGAGGGTGATGATTGGATGATAACTGGGTGAAAGTGGCTAAGACTAATGAGGATGATGATTGGATGATAACTTGATGAAAGTGGCTAAGACTAATGAGGGCGATGATTGGATGATAACTGGGTGAAAGTGGCTAAGACTAATGAGGGCGATGATTGGATGATAACTTGATGAAAGTGGCTAAGACTGATGAGGGTGATGATTGGATGATAACTGGATGAAAGTGGCTTGCGCTTGGACTCGGATTTAAGTGAGGAAGAGTTGCGCAATTCATCAACCTCACTCTCTCGCCTGAGTCCATCTTGATCCAATGGCAGGACAATGTAGAGACGATTGGAATTGGACCAAGCTGCAGTGGATGACAAAGGCGTCGTAAGTGCCCTGCCTTGCTCGAAGCTCTCCACAGAGCCTGCTGCTAATCGCCTTCTTGTCTGTTGAACTATAAGAGGTTTCATCCGCACAGTCCGCCGAGTCCAGTCTTAACATGCAGGGTAGGCATATCCAAACCACCGAATCGTTTAGAACCAGGTCGGCCACCCTCTCCTGGTTTAGCCTGCACGTCAAAGCTGTTGCCCGGGGGGGGGGGGGGTTGGGAGCCACTGACACCAAACCCTTTGTGACAAATAATGGCACAACAGGACAATGACGATGTAGAATGAAGTAAAATAAATAAAGGTACATGAAATTATGAAAAAGGAAGTTATATTAAATAGGCAAAGTATATGAAAATTATGAATTAATATAACTAAGTGTAAGTATATACAATTGAATGAAAACGTAACAAAAAAACAAAACCTTAATATATGAAAGGAAGTTGAAACCAGTAAAACTGTGCATAACAAATTACAAATTAGTTGCTCCCCCCCCCCCATCCCCCTTCTAGCCCCCCCCCCCCCTCCCCGCCGCCCAAAAAGAAAAGATGTAAAAATAAGTAAATAAAATTATATACAGGAAAAACAAATAAATAAAGTAAATAAGAATGAGTTTAAAAAAAAATAAATAAATAAAACAATATGAAAATGTCTGAAAGGAATACAAAATACTCGTTTCCACTAAGCTATCTAAAACATATGGTGCTAACTCTGATTTATCTTGACTATTCAGTGTTCGATGGGGGATGTGATAAATATCACGACGGCCACGTTTACTTTCCGGAATATTTCCAGCAGCCCATTTTAAACCGGGTCTTTCCTTGGTGGGTTCCAGGGACCCATTGCATGTGGGAGAATGGGGGATCAACCCCCTGCTGCTCATAACAAAGTCTAGAAGTAGACGAACAAACATAACTTTCCGCCCGAGTTTGCCTTTAGTGAACGCGACGAAGGAGAAGTAACTTAGCCTTTATAGGAAAAAGCGTAGATTCGTTCCCACAGCTAACATGAGTAATCTAGAAGCGAGGGTCCGATTTAACTAACATTTCCCAAAATTTCTGAAAGAGAAAGTCACAATTTTTGACAACATTATGAAAAGAAAGGTTCTAAAATGTATCGTATCAACCGGAAAGATTTGTGGAAAGAGAGACAGAGGAAGACAACTCAAGAAGGATTCTCAACTGCATGTTGTCGAGACAATCCAGGATATTTTTTCTATCTCTCTATCGTCCTTTTCAGGATGAATTTTTTTTTATTTGAAGCTCCACCCTGGCTTTTGCCGGGGGCCGCAATATAGGCAGGCTATAAATATGGCTAAATGTCTGAACGCGGTTTCTGGGACCTCTCCACGGCGATCCTCATCCGCATGGTGGCACTTTGTGTCATCGGGTGTTTATCGCTTGTGTGATGTCCTGGTGGAGTAGAAAGTCAGTCAGTCAATCCAGGAGGTCAGCACACATACTGATGCATGTTGTCGTGACAATCCAGGATGTCAGCACACATACTGATGCATGTTGCTGGAGATCTCAGCGTGTGGACAGGCTTGATAATGGTGGTTTCACGGCACCACTTCAGTTAAAAAAACTGTAGCTCTGCTACAAGGTGGAAGAGAAGAAGTAGAAGAAGAAGCCTTGCAAGGATTTTAATTTTTGCGCAGTCAATGAAGTTGAATTTTAAATATTGAATTAATTATCAACATCATAGCACTCGGGGCACTCCCATAAGTGCTCCGTCCCCATCTTCAGAAGCAAGCGAAGAGTTCCAGTTCCGATGGTATCAGTAACTGTCTGATTGTACATCCGTCTCGCATTTCCCTTGAGTGTTGAGCGTCGGCCAGATCCCTTGATAACTCCCCGCAACGCCATTATCCTCAGACCGTAATGATCTTTTGTACGACGCACAAAGTTTAATGAACTAACTTTAATACCATTACAAACCTGAACACAACAGTTAGGATAGCTATCACGTTGACTGTACACCATGTCATCAGATAGGCCAGAGGTCTGTTGTAGCTGAGGTCGACGCCGGGAATTCGGACGCTGTTGTTGCTGTAGGCGCCGTAGAAGAATATGGTATGAGAGAAGTCGCCCTGGAAATGGAGATATTTTGGCTAAGCATAAACATGCAAGCACCCAAACACATATATGCAAACGTCACCCACACAAACAGACACACCCTACATACAACCCGCCCACATACACAGCCAATCTACAAACACACAGCCCTCGACATGCACATGATAACCTCACCCCTACAAACACACAACGCCCTACACACATATATACACACATATATACACACACACATACAACCCACACACAGCCCCAGCCCGTACACAATCCCCTACACCATACATAAGCCACCTACCACCCCCCCCCCCCCACGCACATGCACACATCCCCTACCCTCACAAACAGTAACACCCCCTTCTCCACAAATAAATACACACAATTCCCCTCCACACAATACTACCCATCCACACACGCGCACACAAACCTTAACGCACAAACATCCATCACACATCCCTTACACATACGCACACAACCTCCACCCACCTATACATTCCCCACCAACACACAGCATACACACAAAACCCCTATCCACAGAAAACACCTTTCTACCCCACCAGGACATCACACAAGCGATAAACACCCGATGACACAAAGTGCCACCATATGGATGAGGATCGCCGTGGAGAGGTCCCAGAAACCGCGTTCAGACATTTGGCCATATGTATGGCCTGCCTATATTGCGGCCCCTGGCAAAAGCCAGAGTAGGGCTTCAAATGATAAAAAATTACGTCCTAAAAAGGACGAGATTGAGTATAATGCCGGGTTCAAACCCAGCTGCGAGCCATGCGCCTTGCTTTGGTTTCGACAGTGCTATCAAGAAAACCGACTGTCTACAAAGCAATGGCAAACTACTCGACGTAAATTTGCCTAGAAAAACCACACATTGGGGCTGGTTCTGCAACGTCATGTAAAGGATACGTAACTAACCATGTTGGAAGATATGAGGTAGATATATATATATATATACAGATGCAAGTAAAAACGAGATAACTTACAAGAAAACCTGACTGAACATCATTACTCCAAGCCTCACCAGGGACAATCTGATGAACACAGAATTGACACAGAGTGTATAAATAACCATTACCTTTGGCTTCAGTGTATTAGTGTGCTCACGATTATTGCTCTGCATTTGTATGTATGTA